TACAAGGACACTGGTGTTGCTACTGAGGTGTGAGGCGGGGCTGCCAGGATACAGGGACCCTGGTGTTGCTACTGAGGTGTGAGGCGGGGCTGCCAGGGTACAAGGACACTGGTGTTGCTACTGAGGTGTGAGGCGGGCCTGCCAGGATACAAGGACACTGGTGTTGCTACTGAGGTGTGAGGCGGGGCTGCCAGGATACAAGGACACTGGTGTTGCTACTGAGGTGTGAGGCGGGGCTGCCGGGATACAGGGACCCTGGTGTTGCTACTGAGGTGTGAGGCGGGGCTGCCAGGATACAAGGACACTGGTGTTGCTACTGAGGTGTGAGGCAAGACTGCCAGGATACAAGGACACTGGTGTTGCTACTGAGGTGTGAGGCGGGGCTGCCAGGATACAGGGACCCTGGTGTTGCTACTGAGGTGTGAGGCGGGGCTGCCAGGGTACAAGGACACTGGTGTTGCTGCTGAGGTGTGAGGCGGGGCTGCCAGGATACAAGGACACTAGTGTTGCTACTGAGGTGTGAGGCGGGGCTGCCAGGATACAGGGACCCTGGTGTTGCTACTGAGGTGTGAGGCGGGGCTGCCAGGGTACAAGGACACTGGTGTTGCTACTGAGGTGTGAGGCGGGGCTGCCAGGATACAGGGACCCTGGTGTTGCTACTGAGGTGTGAGGCGGGGCTGCCAGGGTACAAGGACACTGGTGTTGCTACTGAGGTGTGAGGCGGGGCTGCCAGGATACAAGGACACAGGTGTTGCTACTGAGGTGTGAGGCGGGGCTGCCAGGATACAAGGACACTGGTGTTGCTACTGAGGTGTGAGGCGGGGCTGCCAGGATACAAGGACACAGGTGTTGCTACTGAGGTGTGAGGCGGGGCTGCCAGGATACAAGGACACAGGTGTTGCTACTGAGGTGTGAGGCGGGGCTGCCAGGATACAAGGACACAGGTGTTGCTACTGAGGTGTGAGGCGGGGCTGCCAGGATACAAGGACACAGGTGTTGCTACTGAGGTGTGAGGCGGGGCTGCCAGGATACAAGGACACTGGTGTTGCTACTGAGGTGTGAGGCGGGGCTGCCAGGATACAAGGACACAGGTGTTGCTACTGAGGTGTGAGGCGGGCTGCCAGGATACAAGGACACAGGTGTTGCTACTGAGGTGTGAGGCGGGGCTGCCAGGATACAAGGACACAGGTGTTGCTACTGAGGTGTGAGGCGGGGCTGCCAGGGTACAAGGACCCTGGTGTTGCTACTGAGGTGTGAGGCGGGGCTGCCAGGATACAAGGACACAGGTGTTGCTACTGAGGTGTGAGGCGGGGCTGCCAGGGTACAAGGACCCTGGTGTTGCTACTGAGGTGTGAGGCGGGGCTGCCAGGGTACAAGGACCCTGGTGTTGCTACTGAGGTGCAAGGTCTTGGTAATTGCCCCCTCACCTTCACTCACGCATGTCGACTACCTAATGCTACCTACCAGATCCTGCTCCTCCTGCCCTCCCAAATAATATGTTGAGTCACTGGGGTTGTGTCCTGCCCCCAGTGTACGTGACAGGTCTTGGGGTCGCACAAGGTTGGTGGGGGTGTCTGGGAGATTCAGGTCCCAGGGTGGAGGGGGAGGCAGGTAACCTTCAGGAGGGAAAGAGAAGGGAACGTTGTGAATGTTGAGTGTATGGATGAAGGGAATGATGTGAACGGTGTGTATGTGAAGGGAATGTTGTGAACGGTGAGTGTGTATATGAAGGGAATGATGAATGTGCAATGAAAGGAATCTTGTTAACGGTGAGTGCATAGATGAAGGGAATGTTGCGAATGTTTAGTGTGCAATGAAGGAAATGTTGCGAACGATGAGTGTGCAGAATGATGGGAGCGTCCAGCAGACAGTCCACAGGTATTGTCAACATTAGAGCGGTGCAGATCACTGTGTGAGAGAGCATTGAAGTTTCCAACAGCAGCAGCATCCTTCACTATTATGTTAGCTTGGTCTCGCTCCGTCTCTTCCCTCACGCTCTCTCATCCCGAGCCTGTCGGCCCTCCCCAGCCTGTCGGCCTGGCTGTGGGGTCGGGTTGGTTCATGTGCTGAAGGAGGGAGGTAGTGGTTACTGTGTGTAGTGTGGTGGTGTTGGCTAATTTGTGTAGTGCGGTGTTATACACGGAGGTCGATGCTCTTAATTACTCTTGTCCTCTGTCCTTCTTATAGCCTACACTTCACTTTTTTAATTGTCATACCTGTGACGTACCAGTTTTCAGGGTTCTTGTTACTTCGCGACTCAGCCCCACACTGGCTGTTCAACCAGGCTGTTGCTACTAGGGGCCCGCTAACACGAATCACACTGTACACCACAGTGTTTGAATTACATATCACTTGAATCCTTGCACTTTTCATGAGGTTCCTTGATGCTGGCGAGGGGCTCTTGATGCTAGGAATTGTATCTCCTCCCGTTCCTCGAATAATGTTGCCTTCCTTTTCTCACAGGTGATGTATGGCCCTTACAGATCTGTAGTAATAATAATAATAATAATAAACAGCATACAATATTAAGTGAATCCTTTCAGGACTAGAGCTTCTCACACATTAATAATAATAATAATAATAATAATAATAATAATAATAATATTAAAAACAGGACAATATACAATATTAAGTTAATCCTTTCAGCAGGACAAGAGTTTCTCACGCAATAATAATAATAATAATAATAATAATAATAATAATAATAATAATAATAATAATAATAATAATAATAAGCAATATACAATATTAAGTTAATCCTTTCACCAACTAGAGCTTCTCATACATTTTGCTTAGCAGTGTCACACATTTACATATGAATATTTTCTCGTGGGTGAGAGGCTGTGTGAGTATGAGAGGAGCTGCTGACACCCACAGTGGTCTACCCGTAGGTGGTGGCTTGTGACAGCCAGTTCTTCCTGCTCAACTTACACACACACACACACACACACACACACACACACACACACACACACACACACACACACACACACACACACACACACACACACACACACGCACGCACACACACACACACACACACACACACACACACACACACACACACACACACACACACACACACACACACACACACACACACTACTGACCTTTTCACTTGAGGTGGGGGGGTGATGCACCTGTCTTAACCCATATTTTTACCTTTGATGAGTTTCGAGAGTTTGTACTCCCGGCGGAGCCTGGTCACAGGCCAGAGTCTTGATGAATTAGACACGTGCAACATCTGGGTATCTACATGTTGCACACATCTAATCCTTCATCTTGTCGGTATTATATACCATTCACGCATCTATACTTTTATTATTTTCTTATTTGAAGGAGAAATTAAAATATATATTATGTGTTTGGTGAGTATTACAAAACAGTCTTTACAGAAATACATTAGAGTGATCTATAGAGAGAACTTACTTAGATCGGAAACACGAATTATACATGAGATGAAACAGCGAGAAGTAAACCCGTAAGGATCATACAGCACCACCTGGGAAACGGGAGGTAATCAGGTTTGATCCAAGAAAAAAGTGTGTTCATTTTTTTTTATCTTGTTCCGTAATATCTCCTTTGGTCATGGCTTCGATCCTCTTCCGGTCTATGATTTTACAATAGTGTTATTACAACTACGTTAATGATGATTTCTTCATGAATTATGCTTTCCAATCGTGTGAGATTAAGTATCCCGAGAAATGGTAATTCTTAAATGGTAGCAACTCCAGCTGTGCCGGAGTGAAACACATGACGCTGCTGGACCCAGCGTAGGCTGACAAAATTTAATTACCTGATACATAAAATCCTTCCTGTGTGATGGAGTATGGCAGACAAACATACCTAGCTTTTCTTCCCACAGTGTAACTATTGTATATTGTAGGGTAAAGTATCAACAAACTACTGATGTACCCAGTTTTGTCTATTAAGGAAAAAAATAACTGTAATAGGAAGTTAGGCTTCACCTGTAGCTCTCTCACCTGTGTAGTGTTGGTGATTGTCTCGGCCAGCATGTGAATGGCCAGCTAAGCCTCTATATTGCTCCACACTAGGCTATGTTGTTCCCTAGTCATCCTTGTTTTCATCTTCTGCCTCATTTTTAATATCACAGGCTACATCTGGTATATTTACTAAGCTTAACATTTTTTTTTTTTTTGCGAGACGACTGAATGGACGACAGTGAAATTAAAGTTGTTAAATGTTATTGGTTTATGATGTGTGAGTTTATTCAGTTTTGAGTCGTATGTACATCACCGGGAGGAGAATATAAATTCAAGAAGTGAATGCCACATGAAAGTTCATGAATAATAAATTCCTTGAGTGAATGTTTTGTATTCTGGTGCGGCTGGTGTGCTGTGCTCTGTAGTGTGGCGCTCTGTCTCGACCTATATTACTCCTTGTGTAATACCCACATTATAACTATTGTAACAAAAAAAAAGTGGTCAAGGTGCCCGGCCCTCCAACGGCTACCTGCCCACCTACTACGCCGAGAACTGGCATAAGAGTAGCACAGTCGATTTCTTTATATGAAACGAGGGAATTGTGGAAGTGTAGGTAGACAGGTGTGGTGTAAAGTACATAGTCGTGCCCACATTAGTCCCATAGTTTGTGCCCCAGTGATCTGTTAGTTACCATTTTGTCCTAGGCACATGTCTGTGTGTGTGTATGTTTGCTTGTATGTGTAATACTCATTATTATTGTATGATTTTTAGTTTTAGTATTACAATTATTCTTGTGTATATTAACCTGTTTGTTTAATTCGCAAACGGGTAAAATTATTTACAAACATTATCTCTCAGTCCACAGCAGGATTTGTACCTGCGCAGTTTGCATCAGAGTACACAGTACTTTTTGGCAAACATACTGAGTACTGTGATGCAGACTGCGCAGGTTCAAATCCAGCTGTAGACTGAGAGATAATGTTAGTATATAAACCTATTTATAAATTGTTAATAGTTACGTGTTTGTAATTTACTTAAACGAGTGTTGTGTTTCAG